TGAATATCTGCGTCAGCCGATAACCCTCAGCATTACACAGCAAAACTGAAGTCAAATCTGTATCTGTATCCTACTCTGAAAACAATCCTTACCAGCAATTTCTGCACCGCAGGGGTTCATGTCGTACGTTCATATCCCAGAGGAGATAAGAAACCGCAAACACATTAACGATTAGAAATAAAGGCATACTGGTAATCTACATCACAGCGCGTTAGTGCGGTTGTGGGCAGAGAACCACCGAACAAGCTCTCAAGATGTTACATCAGGTATCACACCAAAGTGGAATTCGTAAGTCCCATTTCATTTCCAATATATTGTTGGCCAGGCTGGTAAAGCATACAGAGCTTCCAGGGTTCATGTTTGTAAACATCTGCCGCAACATTTGACCGCAGATACATTTTTGCTGTTCGTCAATGTGAGGCATCATCACCACAGCGGTCGTCTGGCCTGCCTTGGCGGTTTTGAATTGGACATCAGTGTACCATTTGATATATTTTACTACATCATTCGTGTATATTATGAAAGCGTGCATTTTTGGAAGGTCGCTTTTGTTCCCAAGATTTGTTTTACTGAGGGAATATCGTGTTTTCTCGTCAGCCTTGTAAAGGTGGGTGATTCGTGAAACGATATACCTTTGTAGTTTTGTCGACAATTCAAACAGACATCAAACTTGTTTCGATAGAAACTCAGCGGCGGTGAGGTCGTCCGTACGCCTCAGGGTTGGAACTTGGATTAGAAATAACATTTTTGTTTCAGATAAGAAAAATATAGATAAGAAAACATATGAATTGTTACTGATGCAGAAAAAAATGGTGGTTGTGTACACGTGTGTGAATCTAGTTGCTGGTTATTTGTTTTGTAGACACTCCAAGGTTTTATTGTCGCCACCGAAGTATTTATAAACAGCCTAAAGACCCTTTGGATTAAACGTCCACGAGAGCATGGTGAGAGATAATTGCTTGAAAAGTATTTTAATCTTTCAAATAAATACTACCGAGCTTCTGGGTATCTTGGGGTTGTAGGGGGCTATTAAGAGATACCAAATTTAGACTTACATCCAGTCTCTGGTTTGTCTGCTAATGTACTGCAGTCTGTCTTTAATGCTTTTTTTTTTCATTGGTCCAGAACGATCACGAGACAGAGCGACATCTAAAAAGTGTTGACTGCTGTAATGTGGGATATTACGTTTCTCCTCATGTGTTCAAAACGTCATCACAGCAGTCAGTGATAGTTAAATATTCAACGCCTTGATGGTTGTTGGTAGACGGCAGTAGTTTCAAGGTTAGATTTTCGGTCAGTAGGCAGTGTACGCTGAGGTAATGGTACATGTGCATGTACATGTGCAACATTTTCATATTATACCTCGGCCTAGGCCTACATCCCAATGAAAAGGCTTGTGTCAAGCAAATGTGAATACCAAACGAAATATGATATTCAATTCAGCCATGTACCTGACCCAGTTCCCTGTGTCAAATCAGGGAACATTAAATTGTTCCCATTCCGACACTCATACAATGATTGCAACCGGATTAGCTTGTGTGAATGTGAATATTCATAGAGGTCGTGACATGAGCGCAAAATGTGTGTTCAATATCAAGTTAGCATCCATCAGGTGTTGGGCTATTAGTTCATCTCTGCGTGTGGTCAAATTCTGGTTTTCCTCTGATTATGCAGGAAAGAGAGTTAATCCATGAACCAACCAGAGTAATGCTTGGTTTTGTATGGAAACAACAATACAGGTGACTTACTACTCACTTTGACACCTGGGAATGGCTTTTTGAGATGTATTTTGATTTCAGTGCATGTATTCCGTGCTCTTGCGTTGTGTAAAAACCTAACACCAACGCCAACAAAGATTTATCGTGGGTGACAAGAGCCTCTCAGGTAGGTAAGTCGTTGTTGCGCAGGTCAACTATATTGTTCTTCCTCACCTTAATTGATAGGGTCGAGCTGTTTTCGTGTACTGATTATGCAGGTGTATGGCAGCGGTTTCGAATCTGTCGGTGAGCGGCGTCAGGCGAAGTCATAGTGCTGTCGTATGACGATGGCTTACTTTGCATACATAGCCAGGAGAACGACGAAGACCCTTCATTTTCATTTTTGCTGTTTTTTCTTGGTCAATTCGTAATTCCTGGTAAATCTTCATCTGTGCATTTAATAGATGTCAAACTAATAGCGTTTTGTATAACGAGTGATGACGTTTTGTTGTAAACAGTGAACCTCGAAAGTTGCATTATTGCTTTATTATGGCATTACTCTCTACACTTCCGTCTCTATGGAATCTCTTCTATTGAAGTTCACGTTGGGTTTTCAATGCTTTTGTAAACAGTGAGAATGAGAAATCGTCACGAAAGGGGTTTATCACAGTGCAGGCTAATGTACCTTTCAAAATTGAATCTTCAAATGCACCGCCGCTTTATTGAAATCACAATGTTGTGTATGAATGCAGTGTTAAACGCTAGTTCCAATTCCTTGTTCTCTGTAACGAACCCCTGTAATTGGCACTGAGCGGAAAAAGGAGCAAAACCCAATCGAAATACAGCAGCCGTTGGCTGTAATCTTTGTACTGTAGATTCAGAAGGCAGTAATCCGTCACTGATTTATTGGTGAGCTATACTGAAGTCCATCCCATTCTGTCCATGGATTTGTCATTTAATGGTTAATTTTTGCTATTGTTCGTTGACAAAAATACGTCAAAACCACTCCGTTGATCATCCTGCTGCATCGTTGTATATTTTTCAAAGTGCATTGAGAGCTGCTCGCAAACCCTTTGTTGTTTTTTTCGTGTCGTGAACCCCACAAGTAGGTCAACCTCACTGGCTGATGGTACATTCATAGATGTAATCATAGTACATTCCTTTTGGCTTTCAAAAGACTCTATACATGCACACAAATACACATATCTCAGACTTCTGGGTGTCAACATTTTAAACGTCAAGCATTCATCACTGCCTTGACATCGGAGACTGCTTGATAAAAGTCTAGACGGGTATTGTTCAGCAGAGGCAAGTCAAGATTGTGGAATTTTTTCTGTGACACATGTGCGCCTACAACGGTTCTACAGTGCAAACACTTAGGTATGTCCTTCAACTTGTTCAATTACAGGGGTAAATCGGGGGGGGGGCTGGAGGGCGCACCCCTCCCCTTTTCACGCAAAAAAAATAAATACAAAGAGAAGAAAATAGAGGAAGGGGAAGAAAATAGAGGGAGGGACCCAGCCGCATAAATGTGACAAAGGCGTAAAAACAACAGTTCTGCTTCTGGTTACCCAATCTTCCTAATTTAACGGCCGCGACCCCATAATACCATTACTGCTTTAGCTCGCTCTCCCCCTTTGAAAAATGCTGGATCCGCCCCTGGTATGACAAGACAATTATTTTAAAGACTTGCTCAAAACGAGCGCATGCTTTTCCAACTCCATTGATTGAATGAATGTAAGAACTAAGACTTGACTTTCTGTCATATTGCTGGGCCCGGGTGACATATTTCTCATAGTGATTGTAAGCAAAGAAGTTGTTGAGAGTAGCATGTGAACGTCCAACAATCTATACATCGTGACGCTTTACCGGTGCTCGACCAACTGAGTTGCCAAGTGTCTTCATGGTGACCTTTTTTTATCATCTTTTCAATGTTCTTGCATAAGCTTTCCCCTCAAAAGCCACAGCATAGGGCCTACATAGTACTCTACCCTTCCTCTCAAAAGTTCTTAATTTCTTAAGGAGATTGGTTCAAAGATTATCTTTTTGAACAGAACGCACCCCCCCCGTGAATTGGTAATTTTATCAGCCATTTTTGAAGAGGTACTACATGTAGATGGATTCACTTGTATCTCCCTGAGCTCCTCGTAGCTTACAGCCGTGAGTCCTCCGTTGAACATCCTTCATCCCCTTGACCCCGTTGCTAAGTCTCTCTTACTCGTCAGGTCATCATAACATGCAAAACATGTCAGGTTCAATCAAGCCAAAACAGAGCATCATGACACTAAAGCAGCTGGTAGATCAATACAGCCCACAGCACTTGAAACCGGATCTAAGCACACGACTTGGTATAAGTCGATAGTGAACCCTGATGCTGTGATAACACTCTGTGCTGTAATCACCATGGTGACATTGAGAACGTGACAAAGATGGCGTCAGCCTCGAACTGATACCTAAAGAAATGAATATTCCGAATATATATCAACCATCTTGTACCAAGGCCTTTCCCAGCCATCTCTTTCTGTTTTCATCCATCCCGATAGCAATATCGTCTGTTGTAAGTGACGTGACCTCAAACAAAGGGGTTCAGAGCAAAGCTGGTGTAATTCTACCGCCGTCTATTTTGGGTTCTGGTTCGAATTTCTGATGGTCTATAGGTAGCCCTGTGACTATTTATACCAACACCGACCAACTCCAACGATCATAATAACATCGTTATGGAGGTGATCACTCTTGAACTCCTACTAGGAATGAATTGCCGTGCTGTCACTCTGTGATCTTTGATTCATCAGTTCAAGACTGATTATTTCTTGTCAGATAACTCGGGTTTGGTGTGAGTATCCAGTAGGCTACTCTCAGTTTAGTTTGTCTGCAATAGTTGCTGACTTCCTTGGATGTTCATCTTACAGATAAGATATGGGTTCAGTAACGCGCATATGAGTTTTTCTCATCAGAGACACTCTCGTGCCCGAGTGCAAACCATTTTTTGTTTGTGGTAAGGTAAACGGCTATCAAGTTTGTAAGGGCGAATTTTATACAAAATCCGTCAAAGTTCTTCCGAGCTGGGAGTTTGGGAAACTATACGCGTCCGCGTTTCTGCATTTCGTTTAGCAGTGTTCACCGTAACATTTACTTTTAGTTTTTTACGTGTCTGTTTCAGAAACCTATACAAACACAGTAAACGTATGTTCAAAGACAGTTACTGTCAAAACAGTCACATAAATTTCCTTTTCCAATTTGGAGCATATATGAGGTCTAAGCGTTCCCACACAACTACTGAGGCTTACTTCTTTTCCCTTGCAGTTGGGATCTTTGACAAGGACATCGGATGTTTGGAGATCATCTGGAATCGGTAGCTTTCCTTGAACTCTACAGTCTGTTATCCACCTGTGCTACCGGAATCAAACCGACGTTAGGTCGCCAAGGTCCGACCAACCTACGCAGCGTTTCAACCTGTTGGCCTGGACGTGGCGTCTTAGTTCCACATCTGAGGTACGTACTAGTCAGGGCAGAAAGGATTTTTACTGCATAATCTTCACCGCAGGCCCAGATTGGTAAAAAGCTGTTTTAGATCCCAAAATCTTAGGGAGATTTAGGTTGTTTCATATCAATAATAAAAGTTGCAAGTACCATGACATTTTCAACACACAAGCTGTCCCGAACTAGTGTTCACGGTGGCAATTGAATAAAGTCGTATTAGTGTATGTCGTCTTTCAAAATAATGCTTCACAGACATCTACGATCTTTTTATATTTCTGTCTTATTCAGTAATTGTTTGTAAATTGCTGTATTATGAGTCAAATGGTTAAGGTGTTTTTTTTTTTAGTTTTTGTTTTGTTCTGCTTTTATAAGTCTCATTTTATTTATGTAAACGTTCACAAACAATGAATCTTTATAGTGCTTAGCGATTTTTATCGCCGAGCCTAAGTACCCTTACTTGGGGTATTTTATTCGCCCGGACACCCCGTTGTCTTCCCTACGGTACCGATAGTCCGCTGCCGTCCCCTCGCATCGTATCCCGCATCGTCATCCACCGGCCCACGCTACCGGCGGGGAAAAATTCCAAAAATAATCAGGGAAACTCTGTTGTCAACCCCGCGGTTTAAATTCCATCTCTGATATATGATATAGATCAGCGCGGTGTTGGTCAGGAATGCTGGGAACATGGGGATTATTTCTAGGGCTCATAATCGATTCTTTTCTGGGCATAATCGATTCTGTTCCGATCGATTCTGACTATATTTTCAACCCTATATCCAGCACATCGTTACCTTAAATCGAATAATTTACGAAGATACCTCGTTCTAAGTATAATCTTGGGGACCGGACCTGTGGTTACGTGTTTGACACTTTTGTGACATTTCTTGTGTCACTGACAGAAGGCGACATTCCTCTGTAATGCTTTCTTCTGCGACATATGGCTTTTCGGTGCAAAAAGCAGGTTAATAATGGAAAAGGTGTCACGTTAACCCTCAGAGATGTCACGAGCGATGAACATATTCCCAATACAGCTGTTATTCACCCCCGACACACACCAACACGCCCGCTATCCAGTCGACCTTTGAACTGGAACATCATAGAAACATCTGTTCCTTGCGTGTTTGAAGTTTCAATATGTACCACTGAATTGGTTTGTAACTTCGTGCACCGAAAAAAACTATAGTTCAATTATTCCAGTAGCATTACTGTTCGAGTCTGAGCAATCTTTGTCCAAATGGGCAAACTAGATAGCTCAGAAAATCATCATTAGCACAGTTTTGGCCCACAGCCAGTTGATGAGCCAATCACTTTAATCGGATCGTGTAAGATTAAATGCGAATTAACAGGGAGCAACTGTTTACTGTCAGATGCACGATGGAACCTATCAACGAGGATTATACCTAGTGAAGCACAAACGTCAACAATATTCCATACCAATGTACGAAGTAAAACGGATTCGTGAATACAGCAGGCCCGTGCATACAGCGGGCCTCAGGCAGCTTTGGTAAAGGTCCTGTTACATACACTTGACTTCAATCCCTTTAACACCAACGTAACTGATGACTTGTTCATCTTTGGTACAATCAAAAGAAAAAGTGCACAAAACTAAAGTGTTTCCAGATAAATCAAGTCACTGTTATCTCAAAGGTCATGTTTTCTTGCCAGAAAAACCGTGATTTTTGTTGGCCAAGAGTTTTTATTTGCATTGTTCTTTATCATCAAAGCTTCACCTTATGGGGTGTTTTATGGAACAACCGAACCCGCTCACCTGGGCAAAACCTTGTTTTCGTTTCAGCGCGAACATTCTTGTTCATAACTGAACGTTTTGGTCAGTGTTCATAGATCATGATTTTTAATTCGACCGATTTCGAATGGAAATACCAGAAAGGTCAACGAACCGAGGTGATTTGCCCAACTGTCTGGAAAATTGGCAGTAAGTGAGGGTAATCATGACGAATTATGTGTCGCACACAGTGTCAAATAGGGAGAGAATTCGAAGTGTCCTCCTTCTACCTGCCGTGTTCGCTCACATCTTTCCTGAACACCAGATTCCATTTTTTTCTTAAACTTCACGCATGACACTTTTGGTACCGTCTTGAATTAGATCCCTTCTTGCGGATGGAGCTATTGTTGTCATTGACCCCAGATGACCTCATCTGTCCACACTTGTTCCCAACTACCAGTCGTCACTGGCTCCAGTTGGTGCCGTCCCAACATATTAGCATCGCCTTGTGCCCAGGGTGATTGAGCACTGAAGAGAACGTGACAAAATTAAGATAGGTCTTATCTGTAGTGAGAAGAAAAATGCAAAACTTACAAAATTCCTTTGATTATGGAAGCATTTTTTCTGAGGCAGTTCTGGGAACACAAAAGTTGTTTTGTCACTGGCTGCGCGAACTGTTGATAAACGACGATCTTGATTGAAATTGGCATCTTCCAAACATTTTATAGCCTACAGCAACAGATTTTTCAGAAAGTACTGAACGACCTACAAGATGTGTTTGTTTAATTCTTGAACAGTAATTTGAATCATTGTGGCGAACTTAAAGTTCTGAGGCTGATATACTATTGACGTAACTCCTAAACCGTCTTTTACTTTTTCCCTTCAAACCTTATAGTTACACTCGGCGTCGGAGTTGATACATTCAACTGGTACGCGTACATCGGCTGCAAACTGACAAAACTAAGCGAATTTTTCCCGTAAAAAGATATATTTTTTATTCACAACCTTCTCAGCTCAAACTATCCTCTGTGTTCGTGTGAAATGCAAAATTTAGTTTTTACTGCACCTTATTTTATTCGGAACCCTTTTGCACAAGCTGTCAAAAACTGTTTTTAGAGTTGAGCTACCCTGTGGAACCTCGCCACAGTTTGGTCAAACATTGCCCGGGGCGACTCACAAAATCCTCCCTCTGCGTTGAGTCAACAAACACGCCACGGCTCATGTTGTCGCTCCCTGGCTTAGCCTTCTCTGACGGGCAAAACCGTTTCTTCGGGGAGGACGGAACCTAAAAAAAAAACCTCCCAGCTATATCTCTCTGCGCGCATAGCGATGTTTGCCCTGGATATGTAGGGTTAAGGTCCAACCCTAGAAATTAACATTCTGAATGTCGGCCTAAGGTATGATTTAGGACGGATATCCAGCTGCATAAAAGAGGTTAGGTTAGTGATTGTACCGCAGTCACGTGACAGCCTGCAGCGACCATTGTTGCCTTATTTAGAACGAAATAGACTGGTTGTATCTTCCCAGCAGGTTGTGCAGACGAAGTTTCCAACTTGCAATATCCATGCACCGTCTTGCATCATTTTTAAGGCACCCGAGTCGGATTGATTTCTTTTCAAACCTTCCTGAACATTTTAGAGAATACAGGAGAATTATTGATCAATGTTAGTTGACATAGTCTTTGTGCAGAAGTCTGTTCAGCGAAGGAATCATAGTGCTCTCACTGCTTTCTCTCTGTTGTCGGAACCCAGAACAATTTCTACCTTTTTGCTTGGGTCGAATTGCATTCCAGAATCTTACCAGTGAAGTTTGGGGAATATCTGCTTTTATCAAAGTGCAAAGATCTCGTGTTCCCATCTTGAGTTAACTTCATAGTTCACCAACTGAAATACCACAAAAAGTTACTTAATTAAACTAGTTGGCCAGCCGCGCATAGCAAAATATCAAACAACACAGAGAGTACGTCTGTCATAGATTGCGATCGCTTGTTTTTTTTTTGGATAGGAAAGTTACCCTCAAGTCCACCCTACCGCAACAAAATATGCCTTTTTAAAGGCGATTATACCAAATGTCAATCATCATAATCAGCTTACTTTTTTACAGCAAGGACGGCAGGCTAAGTCATTCCTGGACTGTCGAACTCGAAAAATTGCACTCTTTCCCCTCCAGAAAATCTCTGAATGATTGATCGTTGAAAGTGTAGATTGGCAGTTTTCCGCCGATGAGCCCAAGGCACATCGGATTTTGGCTGGGCGTTCGACAGCCTTGTTTGATAGATAACCAAGGTTGAAACAACTGGGTTTTTCACTTACACACAACCAAAAGTTTTCACTGAATGTGGATAAGGGTTGTTTGGGATACTCGAATCATCCTTACTTGATTTCAGCCATTTAAAACAATTTAATGTTATTTTCACGCTACTTTTCCAGAGCTTTATCGTGGTTGTGTAATTTCAAGAGAATCGGATGAGATTCCGTCCTTGAGTTTTCTCATTCCTCCACAGGTGTTTTTTTTTAAGTAACAAGACCTGACGATCTTTCACACGGCAATGTGTGTGTAGACTTACGAAATATAAATCAAAACGTTCCAGTCATAACAGCATGCCCTGGTCTTCGAAATGTTGTCAAACAAAAGCTTCTCCCATTGTTCCCAGGGACAGGCATCGAGGTGACCTGAAATACCAGACATTCCTAAGTCAGGAGAATTTCTTCCTGACACAAAAGGATAAACCATCTCTGCAGGTGGGCTATAGGTGTTTGGATGAGTGCTCTTCGATTCAGTTTGTCCTCTTGAAGACAAGAAGCTGTCAGAAGTCGGGAAAATGAGGTTTTAAAATTGGGATTCTTATACGAAATCAAACAATGCCCATTATCCGACAAGAGTAATTTAACTGGGTCTGTCTTACGCAGTGGTACAGCCAGGAGCAGGGGAGGGGTGGCAACCCGCGGGAACTCTGCCCCCTTTTCTTGCCCCTTCCAAAAAATTGGGGCTTTTACCGGGAGAGCTGTTGCCACGCCATCTGTAATGTGTTGATTTTTTTAGTCTGGACATAAGACCTAAGTAACAAGGTTCTTAAAAGAGGAGTTCATCACACAAACTCACCTGCATAGCTGGGGGGGCAAGGGGAAAAATGCCCCCCCCCGGAATTCTTATTGCTCTCGCCGTGAAAAGAGCCGTTGCTACGCCACTGGTCTTACGCAGAAACTTTGAGCCACTCATTGCTTTAAATAAAATACTAATAATAGGCGGATGAATAATTTTAAACCCTTTGAACTTCTGTCTTCAAAATGGCACATGCCCGCCCCTTCGTGAAAATAAGGACGACATTTGACACCTGTCATTCGATCGTCTGGATTGACATCATGCAATTCGATTCGAACCAAGTAATTCGATTCGTCTGTTAAAGTGTTGTTTGGATTACTGAGGTGTTATGAACTGAACTCTGGCAATTGAGAGGATGTCAACGGCGCAACTCGACCGTAATGAACAGTGGTATGATGGCTGAAGAATAAATCCTGGCAACTACTTGTCAAGGAACGATTTGCTTGTGCCTAGTTTGTTCTTGCAACAAAATTGCGCATCCTACTTTCTTGGCTCGTTGCGACCTCCATGCTCGTGCGTGTGATCATGCGTGCTTTCAACAAAGCACCAAATCAGCACGGTGCAATAATAACACACCGCAGTTGATTCAACATTCCTGAATTGGGGAAAATCATGCAAACACGCGGAGGACGCTGTCCTGTAGTTATGCTGAAACCGACAGAATGGAATGCTTTTCATAAATGGAGGATCTGGACAGATTAACAAGGAACGAGCAGAAGGAGTTATTCGATAACCCCCGATCAAATACTTAAAATATTTATCTCGCTCTCAGACCAGAAAAGGCTTTCCTACGTCAAACAGACATTAATTTTCCTTGCTGGCGTAGGCGTGGGTGTAAGAGATGTGGAGTCTTTTCTCCGGTCATGAAAGGTGAAGGTGAACCCTCAGCCTCCGCAGTAACGTGTGAAGTGCAGAAGTTTTTTTTCCCTCACCCCCACAACAAACTGTGTTGAAATGAATTGTAATCTTTCACGAAGAATTTTGACTGGTATGGATAATGCCTTTCCGTTGTAATTCAAAAGTAACCAAACGGATTAATTCCGCTGTTAGCAAGCTACACATGGAAAGAGTTGAGTTGAAGGGCTCTATAACACGTTCCAGTCAATGAAACATGCATGTACATGACTTCCATAGTTTCCTCAAAAGTGGTAACTCTCTGGGATGCTGTTGGTTCAGAGTTGATGCGCATGCGCTCGATTCTTCAGATTATGATTTTGAGTTCTCGCACGGCACCTGTTGTTTGGTAGTTTCAGGAGTGTTACCGGAATTAGTTTACAGTTTCGGTTTTCGTCTTCCGCAGAGTTGACGAAAATTGGAGGTTTAACACTCAAGCTTTGGTGAATTGAGAGGAATCGAGACATGCAGGGGGGTTTAAAGTAGAAGGGGTAAAACGTACTTTAAAGTTAATTTCGACCTCGTATGTGAAGCTGTGCTTTCGTCCTCACAGAACAGGACAATACTGGAGGAAATGACATTTTCAAGCCATTGATATTTAACCCTTTACACTTATGTTTGCCTAACCTTGTCACCTTTTTTTAAACGCTATCTTTTCACCTTCATTGGCAGATGATGACTTCCCATCTTCAGTAATCGATGTAAAGCTTCAACTTCTTCTCACGAATGCCCAGTGGAGACCATCGCTAAAACAGGCTGCAAGCCCATCTAAGTGCTTATCCTTAATCTCCAAGACACTGAAATAAAGATGACGCGTCTGAGCTCACCTGGTTACCAGGCATCCCTCTTCCTCCTACCGATTCTCCTTGTCATCCTATTGCTATGTGTAGCGCCATCTACCGCCCGTTACTGCGAGGAGAGGGAGTGCTGTATCGGTAGGGATGATGACTGTCATATGCCTTATCCGGCTCTGTTGCCGAGTACGCGGTGCTATTGCGACCAATTCTGCAACCGAACTCAGACTGACTGCTGCCCAGATTTCTGGGGGTACTGTCTGGGAATTGAACCGCCTGTACCCATCGTTAAAGGTAAAGTTTGGCATGAGTTGTCCTAACACCGACGCTGTTAACTGATGACACACAATTGCCCCAAAGCCTCTCAAATTTGAAGCTCATTTGAGCAAAGAAGTGATTGAATTAATTCTCAGGTTGAACATAATACACATCCGATATGTTGGACCAAACCAAAGGTGTCAAATTCTCTGTTCTTTGTCCTAGTTGCTAACTCTTTTTGTTTTGACACAGGCACTTGTTGTCATGACGGGCAAGACATTGAAGAGGGTAAATCCATCAAAGTAAACTGTAATCGTTGGTAAGTAGGCAAGCACTGCACTCATGTTTCGCAAGCAGACTCTTTGCTAAAATTTCTTTTTTCTGCA